AATGTAGCGTTTTCATTCACTGAAACACGATGTACATGTATCATTAAAACATATACATAATTTAGTGACATATACTTGAATTAAAATTTTTTCAACAACAAAAAAAAAACTTCTCTACTTTCTTTTGATACATTATCTGTATATAAATCATTATATAACTCCAATATGTACAAATAACATTATTCAAACATTATTAAATAATGGTGGAATGTATCACATCATGTCCATCTAAAACCAATGTATTATATCTACGTGGTCTCATAGTCATTAATTTTCTGCCTTAAAATATAAACTTTTAGAATCAATTACAAATCCGTCACATATAAATACAATTCCGCACTTCACATGCATCCCTATCATACTTTGCCCCATCTGACAACCATTATTTCAAAGCACTTTAATTTTCGTATTTATTTTTAACTATACATTTACATAATAAAACATTTTACACGTAAATTCAAAATTTTTTATTTTATTTTTTAACAACACATTCTCCAAAAAATCACAGTTCAAAACTCCATTTTTTAAAAAATAATGATCGTCAAACACGGTCTTTGTACCTCTCCTCATCAAAATCAACATTCTTAAGTAAATATGGATCATTGCATTTTTGTTCAAAATTTTAAATCGAGGAAGTAATTATTATCTTAGACATTTGCATTCTTAATACAATTTTAACGCATGGATTTCACTTTCTTGTACAATCACCACACGCGCGCCTTCTACTCCAAATGTACAATTAAACCTTTATAAAATACAAAAATACTACTTGTACAATCATTAGAAAGTTGTAATTTTTGCTGTATTTTTTACAGCCCTCTCTAATTAGTGTGGGGCCACTAATTAATGGCATTAGAGGGCTGTAATTTTTGCTATAATTTTTACAACTCTATCTAATTAGTGTGGGTCCACTAATTAATTCTAATGGTCGATGTGGTTCCATTTGGTTCTGGTTCTAAGAGAACCGAACTGAACCATGAACAAATGGTTTTTTCGATAATGGAACCAAATAGTTTTTTTTAAGATGCGGAACCGAATCAAACTGAACCATTTGGTTCTGGTTCGGTTTGGTCTGATTCTAGTACTATTACTTAAATTTTCAAACTTGCATAAGAAAATAATATTTGTAGTCTACTTTAATTTTTTTTTTTCAAATTGACTTATATCACAGTTTAATAAAAATATTGTCTGACTAGAATCTTTGACCAATATGTATAAAATTGCACAAAAAACAATGAAAGAAAAGAAAGATGTCCAGTAAATTATGATATTTTTTGCTATACTCTTGATGGCTTGGAGGAACAACAAATTAGTGGCGACAAAGTTGGAGTTTCCGCACAGAGAAACTGCATTGTTCGAGGTTTGAATGATTAAGAATTTAGGAAGGCGTCAGGAGGTTTTTGGGACTTTGAGGGTATGAATTTGAAATAATGCATTNATGATATTTTTTACTATACCCTTGATGGCTTGGAGGAACAGCAAATTTGTGGAGACAAAGTTGGAGCATCTGCACAGAAAAGCTACGTTGTTTGAGGTTTGAGGGATTATGAATTTAGAAAGGAGTCTGGAGATGTTTTGAGATTTTGAGGATTTGAATTTGAAATAATGCATTGAAATGAAGTTTAAACACAAATATTGAATACAATTAAAATTAATGAGCTAAACGTTTTATGGGGCGTACCAAAATAATGGCTATTGGGCTGACTTCAATTAACATAAAATCAAATTCATACAAAAAATAAAATTATAAATTAAGTTTGGTTCTCGGTTTGGCTCTTGGTTCTAGAATCGGAATCGAACCAAAATTATAACCAAATGGTTTTTTGTTCGAAGAACCAAAATTATTAATTTTTTTTGTAGAACTGAATCGAACCGCTTGGTTTGGTTTGGTTCTGGTTTGGTTTGGTTTGGTTTAGTTTGGTCTAGACATTTTGTCTACCCTAATTACAGCCCTCTAATGACCGTAAATGTAGCAGTTTTCTATAAAATAATAGTATTGGGGTCGAGAAAAATCATTACTTTAGATGGGTTATTAATTTATCAATTGATAACGTGAAGCCATTCATAATCAAGCTACAAAAATGTGATAGATGCCGACCATCTCTTAAATTATTTTATTGAAAATGATACATTGATAGATAACCTACTCACAAAGAGATTGTTCAAGAGCTATTGAATACGTTTATCGAAAATTATCATGATTTCGATAATAGCTTTATTTTATCCATTGTTTCTCCAAAAGAAGAATTTCAAACATCGTAATCTTAAATAATTGCTTTCTACAAAATAAAAAACATATAGCAAATGTGGTATATACATAACAAAAAATAAGAGATGAGTATNTAGAACTTGAACTTCTTCAATAATATGATTTGAAATTTAGAAGACAATTTTAGGGCCTGTTTGAGCCCCATTGGTTTGTGTAGAATGCATTTTGGAATAGTAGATTGATGGAGAATATGTAATTAAAAATTAAGGAAATTTTTTTTAACTGTGTATAATATTATTTTTATTGAAGAATGCATGGTTGAAAAAAAAAGAGGTAAAAATGTATTGTGAAAAAAATGAGGATCAAACATGGTCCTAATACGGCAAAGAAAAAAAAAAGAAGCTCTTTTAAGTTCATTCCTTAAAAATTCTTCAACATAATTTTTATTTCATATTTCGAGCAAACATCCGTTCGTTTGTTACGAACAAAAACATTTTATTATTATTCACGTTTCTATGTCATCATTTTTCTTGCTTATGCAAAATCTTCTCAAGATTCATCTAAGGGTCCGCTTGAGAGTTTTGAGGTAGAGATTATGAACATTTTTTAAAGTATACATTTTTAAAACAGTCTAACCATGCTTGTGAATTTATTATCTACCAATTATGAAAGTTTTTAAAAAAATAAAATTACATCATATATATATATATAGTTAGAATTTCAAGTTAAAAAGTTAAATAAAATTAAATATTTACTTAAAATTTTAAATTAGCGTTCTCTACTTGTAAGTAATTTTTATTATTATAAGTAAACTTTATAGTTTTAAATAATTTTCAAGTGAATTTTTTACTTTTAAGTAAATTTTTGCTGAAAATAATTATTTTTACATTAAAGTGATTTTTATTTTATAAGTAATATTTTACTTATAAGTAATTTTTTTTGCATATAAATGTTTTAGTTAATATTTTTATTTACAAGTTAGTTTTGAATAAAATATGTTGATTGAAAATAATTATTTTTTATAAATGGTAAAATTAGAGGAAAAATGAGAAACGATCAAAACACGTCATTTGGTGAGTTGAGAGAATCGGTCAAAATTTACCAAGAAATACTCTTCGATATAGTTACCCCTCACAACTCTCATTGAAACCAAAATTATATCAAGTAACCAGATTCTGTTCACCAAGAACAATACACAAACTTTTGAACTCTCTATTTACATCAAACCTCACCAAGAAGAGTTATACTACGTGTACACCATAATATACCACTTCATTTACAGAATTTACACTTAACAAAATCTCATAGAATTTTCCACATCAAACGTATTTAATCCGACTGTTACAATTCTACCACGCATCATCTGTACACCAGGATGGCGAGAAAATCTGCCACCAAGAAAGGATGAAGCTTATAGAGAAAAGAGAAACAAAAAGTTCTCTATCAAATGAGAAGTAATTACTATTTACAAGCAATATCAATAAAGTGATAATAATTCAAAAAGTGACATAATCTTGAACACCAACTATAATCAAGACATTTGACACCAATCCTTAAGTAGGGAAAACAATTTTGAATAAATACATTACTCTATGTGTAGAAGGCAATATGATGTATGAACATAAAGCTAAAATGACCACTAATCATTGCCTTAGTAGAAACAACACCAAAGACATTCAAGATTTTCAAGAGAACAAGTTCAATTAAGCCTAGCCTTACAAAAACGATTTAGCACAATAGAGCAATTCAAAGTGACATTCAAAGCCATAAACAGATTTGCAAATAGAGCTTAACCCTAGATTCTCAAGCTTGTGGAGCAAGATTTCTCTTTTTCATTGAAGATCCTTCAACTGCCACACTTTCTCTTCCTCCCCTTTGATTCATCTATTGCCTTCTTCACCCATGGGTCCGAGTATCTCTAATGGTGCCAATGGTGATGGTCGATTGGGCTGAATCTCATTTCATTTCATCACTTCTGGTCATGTGGCAGTAATGAGTGCATTAGGGTTTGGTTTTAGGCTGAACGTATAATCTACGGTTATATTTAAGGTTCATGAAAAAAATAATCAATTTTCAAACTTAAAGGTCGTATTGGGCCTAATTTCCCCTTAAAAGTGGCACAATTGCTAAGCATTGGTCCAACAATGTATCTTTGACCAAAATGGCTACCATGCCACCAACGGAGTAGACACCTAAAAGTGATATGGGGAAGATGTACTCTTAGGCTGCTCAATTCGTGAACTGGTTCTCAGTTGATGATTTATCAGTGGTTTGGGCCATCGGACGAAAGGGATAGAATAAAGCCTAAGCTCTGAAAAATATTTTTTTTTTTGTAAATTAATCAAAGACGTATCTATATCCGAAAGAAAAAACAAAGGAGAGAAATAAGTAAACAAAACAGGATCTGTTGGGGATAGAATTGATGGCCGAGAGAACCGTAAGTAAGATTATCTGAATGTATGATTGTTACAAATAATTATAAGTAAGGTTCTCTGGCCACAAGAGTGGAAAAATTTTATCACTGACCAATTTCACAAATCATCACGATGCTCACAATCAAATATTTCTATATGTAGTTGTTCGTTCTCCTGTGCCTATGCATCGTCCAGCCTGTTCGGAGTTCTTGGGCGTGTAGGAACTGAGAAGGACCGTGTTATCCTTGGGGAAACACTGATATATGGAGGGTTATTGGGCATCATACTCGGTAAGGATCGTGTTCTCCTTGTTGAAACACTGATATATTGAAGGTCATTGGGCGTCTGATCAGAGAAGGATCACAATATCGAAGGTCCTAAACTGTCTTGTGTTCTATTGGTTGTTCACAGTCTACTTCTTGAGGTGCATCTCCATAACAGTGCGCAAGCGCAACCCAGTAAATTAGGAAGCAAGCAAAACTTAGAATGGTCAGTATCGTATAATAATTGTCCATTCGACTTGAATCTGTATCATGCCCAAACCAGCTTTTGAAAATGAGGATACAAAGTGTACTCAGAAACTTTCCGATGCCCATCACACATTCTCCAAATGGTGTCCTGTAGTCCCTTAGAGATTCAGAAAGCAGAGAACGATAGAAACTTTGAAGCCCTCTTTCAGAAAGTCCTTTCATAATTCCCAACAAGAGAAATTGTGGAGTTAGGCTAAAAATATCCATATGCATACTTGGCTGTGTGTTGACCAAATCTGCATTTTTGTAGGCAAATCTGCAACAAATGAAAGAAAATGCCATTCCAACACCGATTCTCCACTGCATTATGACTTGTCCATTCATTTCATTACCAATCTTTCGAAATAAGAAGTCACATAGACAATCAATTGCGAAGCTTGTGACTGTTACTAATATAATAAAAACAGTAATAGGGAAATTGTCATCAATGTTGCTAGCTTGTTT